ATTCAGGGCACTGTTGGGAACAAGAGCTCACTCTTCATTAGGTTGATGATGATCATGAGCAGATGACTGGAAAGTTCAACTTGGCAGAGTGAGTCACAGAGAATCGCTGAATCAACTCACTCACTCATTTTCTACCACTTAGTTCCTGAACGGGGTCATGGGGGGGCCGGAGCCAATCCCGGCTGGCAATCGAGCGAAGGTGGGGTACACCCTGGACAGGTCGCCAATCCATCGCAGGGCTAACACATAGACGCACAACCACACACGCGCACACGCACTCCTATGGGCAATTTTAGAAACACCAATCAACCTAAGCTGCATGTCTTTGGACTGTGGGAGGAAGCCGGAGTACCTGGAGAGAACCCACGCAAGCACGGGGAGAACATGCAAACTCCACACAGAAAGGTCCCGGGTGGGGCCCAAACCCGTAACCTTCTCGCTGTGAGGCAACAGTGCTAACCACTGTGCCACCGCGCTGAATCAAGTGACCTTAAAAATATAATACAACAAATGTTACATACTATGTAAGAGGTGCCTAAGGGCTTTATATACTGTATTAAGTGGGTTTCTTTTGAATTAATTCATTAATTGTTTGGTTGATGCCAAGTGTTCGATTGTTTGTTGCTTTTCTTTTCTCTCTCCCCTATCCACTCACCCCAACCAGTCGAGGCAGAAGGCCGCCCACCAAGAGCCAGAGTCTGTTGGAGGTTTGTTCCGTTAAAGGGAGTTTTTCTTCCCCACTGTTGCCAAGTGCTTGCTCAAGGGGGATTTGTTGGGTTTTTCCTTTATAACGATAATAAAAATAATAATAAGAGTAAGATCTAGATCTTACTTTGTAAAGGGCCCTGAGATGACTTTTGTTGTGATTTGGCTCTATACAAAATTACTGATTATACAAAGTATACTTAATATACCATAAATACTGAATTAATTAATTGGCAGATTTCAATATATTGACCAAATAATATATTTTATTTCACATCAATATTTTGTGGAGCCTTTATTTTCTGAAGCTTCAGGAGCATTCTTTTTATGTGAGAGGCTAATCTGATGAAGATTATATGGATAAAAATCTACAGTTATGTGACAGTGTTTCACAGAATTAAAAACCTGATGCATGTATATTCAACCTTGGGAGAGCTTCCGGACATATCCCTCATTCTCTATAATGAAGTGGATCCCTGCAGAGGAGTTCATGACTGCACGGACGCAGCTGACACAAGTGAGCTGCAGAAGGGCATCGGCGATCCGAGAGCACCCCCGCCCCGAGAGCCGGTCCAGGGCTTCCAGGAGCAGGTCCAGCCCACTCAGCTCCAGGAACTGGACCATCCATGTCTGGTCGCTCCCTTCCAGGCGACGTTTCAGTCCCGAGTAGTTGACCACAGTGGGAACCTGGAGCAGTCTGATGCACAGCTCTGGATCAGCACTCTCCAGGTTGGGCTCCTGTTGGGTATCAGAATCCTGCGAGGAGCCCAGGCGATCCCTGACTGTCGCCCACTTCTTTTTCCCATCTGATTTCACTGACATGATGGCTGCGGAGGAAAGAAGGAAAACATTCACAGTTGTTTGAATGTTAATGTGTGTAGATGGAAGAGGCACTTTTCAGCTAATTTAGAAAAAAAAAAAATTCTGCTTCTTTTTTTGACTGCAACTGGTGTCTGTTTGTATGATACTGAATTGTGTTATTTGCCCATAATAATTCAGTGTCATCATTGCTATCCAGAACAGAGGAAGCAGGCCACAACGAGAACTTATCGAAAAGGAAGCAGAATGGGAAACAATAGCTCAGCACTCTGCGGATGAGTAAAAGATATGTCAGCAGTCCAGTCAACACCAGCTCTGTCAAACATTCCAGCCTAATCCTATATGAAAGAGAAGAGAGTCACTATCCGTCCATCAAAACAAGCAGGCTCAACATTGCCTGGACAGTGTGCATCATAATTTACAAAATAAACAAATTTACATTCAAGCTCATTTGTGGGATACTGGAAAACATGCACGGTCACGCTTGTGAAGAGCTATTGCAAAAGAAATGACAGCGCAGGAAGAGCATTCCAGAAACATCCTGCCAACACATCTGACACTGACATGAAAGCACACATTTATCCCTAACGTTCCCATTTCTGACACATCCCCAGAGAACTGTTCCCTCTTTTACAAACCCGTCAACCCCTCAATATCTACAAACTGTACTCTAACAAAATCAACAGGCTAAGGATCAGGCCATAATAGGGGAACGATTTCTTAGAAAATCTAAAAATACTTCCTCTGTACTGCAGTTGTGATAGGTGGTCCAGCATAAATGAACAGCGTGAGCGGTTCTTCGGTCTCCTGTTGTTGATTTCACACTTGGCGAGAATAAGCTATACAGATGAGACACTGAGTGGTGAACATGAACAAACAAAATGCTCTGCAAGAAAGGTCACTGTGAGAGCCACGCTGTAAGGAATTATAGCCTTTACCATCACCAGACAATGTATAGCTTTACTCAGGAAACCTGCTTTCTTAATGCTTTATTTTGGTTGGACATGTAAGCAGCTCACTAAACTAAAAACCCTGTTACAAGCTGCTTGCAAATGACTTGGAGGTCTATATTTTCAAAGGGTAATGTGCAGGGAACAGAAGTAATGACTTGTGAAAAATCAGAATTAGATTTCTATTCACTCACAGGGTAAAACGAGACTTTTCTTTTCTCACATATTCTGGCAAGATTATGTGAGAAAAGACTGCAGCATTTCAGTCCTGCTGCCAATATGAGAGTGTTACCTTGGCAGCAGCAAGCAGACAGACAATGGGGGTGTTACAATGGGCCTTCTCAGCACTCTTCAGAGAGCTCCATTTGCTCCCTGTTTCCTTTTAGACTAAGAGATATGTCCACCAACTACTCAGACACTTTCTGATTCAGGACCATGTTGTACTTTCACGTTCAGCCTGAGCAGGGGACAAAAGTTGCAACTTGACACTTGTAATCTGGAGAATTTTCACAGTCATGAACACTTGTGAAGCTACTGGGGTTTACTGAAATGCACTGGGAGTTTTGCTAAATCTAAATCGAGTCTAAGTCCTGTAAATCAACAGACAATTAAGAGAAGCTGGTGTCCTTGGTGTGTGGGTGTGTCTCATCTCATGTTCACTGTTGGCCGGACTCCTTGAAAATTTTTTCAGGGGGAAGGAAAGGACTTTCCCCTGGGACAGGAAACCTGAATCAAGATAAACACGCTGGTGCGACAGCTCATGTTGCCTTTTCTGAAAATCCAGTTTCATTCTTGAAGATGTTCATTTGATCTCATGTACAGATGGACAGTCTGTTCATGTTCACACATCTGGGTTACAAGCAACACCAAAGATCGACAGTAATGGAAAGACAACATTTGCATATTCTTTTGTGTACCTGTCAAATATAAGCAATTTTCATTTGTTGACCTTGTCTGCCAGAGCTCCCACATGTACCACTAATAGCAGGCTGATTCACTGCACACAGGACAAGCCTACTCATCTGTTCTCTGGTGAAGCTGCCCACACAGCAGCCCACTGCTCTACTGTACAGCATCAACACTTATGAAAATGCAGAAATGTCGCCACTGATTTATTTCCTCTGAGGCATATGCAGAGCTTGTGGAGAATAAATGATTTTTCTACAAATGTTCTGTGTCTGTCAGCAATAATGTATCTGTAAATCAACCTGGGAATTAATTAAATCTCATGAAGCAGTTTACATATTTTTCAAGTCATTTGATTTTTCTTGCACTGACATGTCCTGTTTAGCAGAGAGACTTGTGTACTGGAATAATAACTGTCTTGGCATAGGTTAAAAGTATGTGAACATATGACTCATGTTTTTCTTGAAGATTGAATAATTATCGATAATTAGTCAGGCTTTATCCAAACCATAAAACTGCTTCCAGTATTTGGAGGATGATTATTACAACAACAAAAACATCTTGTTCTCATTTAATCCAATATCCAAAGCTCCTCTCCCTTTTCTGCTATTTAAGGGAGTGACAGACATTCCTGCAAACTCTGCAAGCAGATTTTGTGGTTGAAATGTATCTTTTAGGTGTAATTTAGTTTCCTTTATTCCCAAAGTGTATGAGGATTCCTATGGATTTAATAGCTGCACACTGACAGAACATAAATGACAGCTCATATGGTCCATACACAGTTCAAGTGGATTTAGGCAACAGTTTTTTTTTTTCATCACAGACTTGTTCCCTTCATTCAGTCCAAGGCAAGAAGGCTTGAGAGGGAACAGTTACTTCCTCCTGGATGGGTCGAGAAGACGCTGGCACCAGAATACAGTTGTCAGTTTGCCCATCTACATTAAGCATCGGCTCACTGTGATCACAAAGCATCTGGAATTATTACAATTTAACGGTGCAACATTGTTACTTTGCGCGGTGATTTGTGCACACACCGGGGACATAACGGGACAAGTATTCTTACTATGGCGAGTACAAGACACCATAAAACAACACGATATCTCTCAGCTAGTGCGTCGCATCCTATAACACTGTTGCATCGTTATTGGAGCAACATCTTACCTGTTTATATTCCAAGTATTTACACAAGAATAGCGTCCTCGCCTCAGATGCGTTTCAAATGAGGAGAACGCTTTGCAGTGATCCACGGGAATTTTTTATGCTGCCCAAAGGTGAAACACGGACCCCGGATGATTTCGGCACTGTGTGGCAGATCAGAATCTGGTACTGTATGCGGATGGCACCTCTTTATACGGCCCCCGAGATTTCACTCACTTGTGAGAGACTGACTGTGTCAAAACAACAGCAGTTCTACTAAAACAAATTCCGGTCGAAACTTTCAGAATAAAACATGCATGACAGTCAAAATTGGGTTTTGGTTATTGAAGTTTTTACGGAAAGCAATAGTGAATCTGTGGCTACAGTAAAAAAAAAAAAAAAACCTAATAAAATTGTTGTTGTTGTTACAATGCCAATCTGAAAAAGTAAATAATGTAGCAACAGTTGTTAAACTATACTAGCATACAATTAGCCTCATAAAATAATAGCATAAGCTGTGGCATCAAGTAAACCAGATTTAGCTAGTTACAGAAGTAGCCTATATGCTAGGCTAACTGTCAAATTATATACATTGTCCCGTGTCTCTCTTCAATAAAGTAAACAAAGAAGAAGCAATTGTGCCAGGCAATAACGGCACAGTAATTAATCAAATAAGCATAAAAGTACAGCTCACAACACAAATAGAATAGCTAGCGGTTACATAATTTCAAAATACAAAAAAGTGGAATGTTGCATTGGCAACACATAACTTAAGACAGACTTCTGGTATGGCTAAGCTGCCACTAGACATCACAGAAAAACTAGTTTAGCTACTATCTGAAATACGGTAGCCTACAGGTTAAACTGCAACAGAGGGGTAGGACCAAATCATTAAACAAAAACTAACTGCTGGTAATGTAATAATCATACAGTCAATTGTAATAACCCATTTGTCATGGTAAAGGAGTGAGATGGATGAGGGGCGTGCGGACAGCCTCAACCCACACCCCCTCACGTTACGTCACTCAACTTTACCTATCGAGGGAGTGCCCAAGTCAGAGTTTTATTATGAAGGCAGAATTCCTTTTTCCGGTCTTAACGTAGCTATTGTCGTATACCTTGAAGCTGTCGTGTTATGCTGGTTGGGCCTGCTTCCACACTTCCCATCCAGCTGGACCCGTCCTCTGTCGGACACCCACTGGCGGAGAAAAACGTAACTTCTTTATTCACTTTACTAATAGAAATTGTGAACAAAAGGGTATAGGCCAACATGTTATCTATGCAATGCCATAAAGATAATGAACATGACTCTTCAACAGTCAAATTTATAACTGCCTTGAGTGGGTTTGAATTTCTTCTCAAGATGATTAAGCAACAGGGAAAGTGTGCTTATTTTGGACCTGGATATTTTGTTGAGAAGTGAGTGCAGCTTTTATCCTGTGACTTTACCCTGTGACATGAGTCTATTTCACAATTATGTGGTTATTGTGTTCTTATTATTCTATTGCTTTATTGTATTGCTGCTGTTTTATCAAATGTTTTGTTCATCTAGAGGACACTTGTCTTCTATTAGTGAGACCACAGAAACATCAGCAGCATGTGCCCACAGGTTACAACACCAAAGAATATGCATGATAGCAGAGAATATGCTAATAGTTACAAATGGGACTGTTTTGTTTAAACTGAGTAACAAAAACCATTGAGCAACTATTACGAATTTGCTCACTTTTATGAAGTTCACAATCCCAGTTCCTGAACTAGCTGAACAGGATCATATTGGAATCAGTTTGTTAATCTTTGAAGTTAAAGGCAACGTCACTGTCCCATTTCCATTTATTGTTCTACAGGATAATTACCTTTATTATTAAAGGCACATACAACAAATAATTTTCTGCCATGATTAGGCACATAGATAACTATGATTAGTGTTAGAAATTTGTAAATCAGTCAGATGTATTGTAATGTATTGAATCAAATGTGTTAGTAATGCTATTTAGTAAGATTCAAATTCTGCTCTAGTCTGCTCTGTTTCAAGGTTAGCAGTAAGCCAGGACACCAGTTGTTTTCCTGTATTAATCTTGTGTTGGAATACTATGTCTGAATAAATAAGTGAATGTCTTAGCTACACATCATGTGACAACATATACACACATTGAGCGTCCTCATTTTGGTATGACTAGGTAACACGCAGCTGCTCCAAGCCTGTGGAGCTCTAGATAAGAGATGGAGTCTGCTGGACTGACTTCATCTATGTAAGGTGTTTACCCAAAACCTTATAAATGTATTAGGCTCTGTGTTTCCGGAAACCCCTCTCCTCCAGCAGTTGTCTGGAGCAGGGAGCTACCCGGGTTGTGTTCTGTAATCTTTATTTGTGGCTTTAAAAATAAATCAGCACTAAAATGAAGAAAGACGGACTCCTTCGTTATTCTGATCTGTCCAAATAAAGAACTGGGGTATAACAATTAGAAAGAAACTGACCCTAAAACCAAACAGTAATGCCACAAAACAAAAATAAAGGTTTGTCTTGTGTCAGTGGAAAAAGGTCATTGACAAGGATGTGCTGAATATACAGTATATACTCTCTAATGGAAACAGTAACACAGGTTGTCAGGACAAACATAATGACACCAGCCAATCTTTTGTGATATCCTAAGGTGACAGAGTGATCATAATTCCAGTTTGCAAATAATATACACATTTTTCATAATCTTTTTTCCTACAAGAGTGAAGAAAATTGAGATTGTTTCTTAGACATGTCAGGGCATGTTCCCAATTCTGCATTACATGGATCCCATTGCCTACAGGAAATGCTTCAGCAGTGGATAACGAAAACACCAGTTCACCTCTTTTTAGGAGCTGTAATTTGGGCTAGTATATCAAAACTGAAATCTACAAAAATACCACCCATTTATTTCCAAAGACCCTCATGTGAGATACCAGGTGTTGATATGCTTTTGGAATAGACTAGCCAGCTGTTTGTTCACTACTGTTGTGTAGTGATAAGTCATTGAAAAAAAAGTTCTGATCAGAACAGCTGTTTAATTATTTTGTTTATGATCCTGATGATTGGGGGGCGGCTGTGGCTTAGGAGGTAGGGCAGGTCGTTTTCTAACCGGAGGATTAGTGGTTCAATTCCTGGCTTGTTCAGTCAGCATGTTGAAGTGTCCTTGAGCAAGACACTGAACCCCCAGTTGCTCCCGGTGATAACACCAGTGTGTGAATGTGTGAGTGCAAATGGGTGAATGGCCAAATAGTGTGAAAGCACTTTAAGTGCAGTAAAGCGTAGAAAAGCACTACATAAGTATAAGACCATTTACCATCCCTTCTTCATTATTCTTTTTATTTTTACACCTGCCAACAGCTAGCTTTAGCTAAATTCAGCACATGCTGAACACTAATTTTCAGCCTGGTTGTTACATAATTTGTCTGCAAGATTTCACTCTGTACTCATTACATATATTCATTACAACAATCTAATGCACCAGAGTGCATCACAACTAACAATAGTTATTGTAAAATGATTTGAGGGATTCCAAGTAAATATGTTAATGTGCAGATGCAAATGTAATGAAGGCCAATATATCTCTATTGTCCTTACTATGATTTTTATTCAATCAATATTTGTAACAGCCTAAAAAATCTACAATATGATGACACTCCTAAACAAAGAACATGCTGGAGAGATTATATTGCTCACCTGACCTGGCAACAATGTCTCAGGATACAGTGGCTCAGCCAGAGATAAGCAACAGGAAATGGACAGAAACGCACAAAATACAGATTTGCCATTTACAAATCAATCTCTTAACGTATGCCATGAATGTCTTTATGGATATAAACATGCAAAATGCTAACTGGGTCTTGAATGGCATGAAACCTAAAGCGAATTCAAGGGAAAGTGGGACAGTTTTTGGCAAATTGCCCTTATAACAGTTTGTCCAGTTCAAGTGACATGATGCTGTTTTTATTTAATCAGGTCCTTGTTAACATGTCTACAGTGAAATCAAATTGCAGAAACTATTTGATAAGTCAAATCAACATAGACTCCATCTATCCCACACCTTTGCAGAAATGGGGACACTGTGTGGGACACCTTTTGAAAAAGTGGGACACTGACTTTGATAATCAGTAATCACTTTTATTGGCCAAGTATGTTACACAGACAAGGAATTTGTGAACCAAGGCAGCCATCTAGGGCGCCAACTCACACAAACACACACTGATGATGGCGCCATCCCGGAAACGCGATGCTCTGGTCATCAGGAGCAAGTTGGGGTTCACTGTCTTGCCCAAGGACACTTCAACATATTGACTGGGGAGAATGGGAATCAAACGGTCGACCTTCCAGTTGGGGGACAGCCGTTCTACCTCCAGCCACAGCTTCCCCTTTAACAGTCATCATACTGTATATGTGAAGAAAAATGCACATATATATCAGGCAGCACAGATATATTCAATCTATGCATTCATCCATAGGTAATACTGCTCTTGAAATGTAGAGAAACCTGATTAGCAGCTGACAACTCGCGTTAACGATGTTAAGAAGATTTTAAAATGTTAAGACTTGCAAAACCTACTTCTCGATGTTAATGTTAAATGCTGTTTAAAATGCCTAAGTGAACAAGAACTACATTTCCCAGGTTGCTGTGCACAGCCAAGGTGAAAGGTTGAAGACGTCAAACTCGTGCTCCCTTGAAGTGGAACAGCAACAAACCTAACAAAGCAAGTCAAACGCTACTATTGTGTTTAGATTTGTCATTTTTCCGTGTTGGCCCTGTTCATTGTTAACGAAAATGTCCGGAAAGGCTAAGGATATCTTACAAATGGACTTGTATGGTTTACTCGCTATAGAAAGCTCTGCTACAACGAAAGAGGTATGTAAATTAGCTAGCTGGTAACGTTAAACTAGCTAGCAAAAGCAGCTACTGTTAAGTTAGGCTGACGTATGCTTTTTAGATAGTTTATCTGCGTGTTTAGTTAATGCTAGAAAATATTGTGGTTTTACACAGAGATACTGCAAGTGTGAGAGGAGACTTGATCGCAAATGGTGGCTATAGCTTGCTACTGTGGAGCTTGCTGCGGTGTTATATGTGCTGCGGTTGCCTATTTAATAACGTGAGACAAGGAACAGTTTTTCGGTTAAGGACCAGGTAAACCTAGCGAGGACAGAATTTTATGTTCAGGGAGTTTTAGGTAGCATAAGATAGTCAAACCGGCTAAGCCACAGAGATGTGATACACCGAAAAGGCCACTGAGGGGCGACGTTGCCTCAGTATTTGGTGCGAATACTGCAGCTGTGTCAAGAATGACCAGAATTGCTTTTGGAGTAAGGCTATTAAATTCTAAAGATCATAAGGTCCAAATAGTATGGCCTGGCCAGGTCCATGTATATTCATTATCTGAAATGAAATGCATATATCGGATCACATATAACCCAAGAGTGGTAATGTGATGTATCTATATCTGATGAGGTATGAAAACGGAATCATTTAAGGGGAGAAAATCCTTTAATACTGAGGACAGCCTGTTTACAAAAGGTTCCATGTGTTTGCTCACCTCTGCATATTATAAACTAAATGCCCGAATGCCAATTTTGTCTGCATGGATCTTGAATTAACTCTGGGAGGGTTCTGCTGCTCTCCTCTGCATTTCATTTCCCAGCCCAGAGAGGTTCAACATGATGTCCTGAATCCCAACAACCACCTCTCCTCACAGTTTCCAGCATCTAGAATCCACAAGGCCTGGAAGAAAATTAAAATTGCTGCCAAAATGAGGGAATACATTTGATTTGATTTTTTTGATTTGATTTATTCTTTCAAGCATATAAAACAGTTGATATAACAACACCCATTTTTACACACAGTCCAATATCAATTTGCTTATACCTAATACATTAATTTCTTAATTGGATTTCAATGTTCTGTCCTCTCCAGAGGATTATCCTGAAGGAAGCTAGCGGTTGTGGCTTGGGCAGAATTGAGATTCCAAAATGTAGAAGGCTGGTTCTCTGAGGTCTGTTGATGATCTAGAGAGATAGCAAGGGTGTGTGTGTGTGTGTGTGTGTGTGTGTGTGTGTGTGTGTATGTATGTATGTGTCGCATTGAGTGTGGAGACAGATGTCATCAGATGGGCTGTGTATCCCAGTTGTTTGGCTCACTGCTTCACCACCACTATCAGGCATGTTGTTTATCAAACAGAAAGAGGAAGAAATTGATCCAGAGACTGTTTATGTGGCTTTACCCACAGCTTGTAAAACATTGTTTTGACATAAGGGATTTGCATTTTGCATCTCCTCCTGGTTCTATTTAGCATCTTTTTTTATATTATCACTGCTCTTGACCTTCCTTTGAGCTTAGCTAGCTGATAAATGTCTGGGAAGTTGGCATGCCAAAGCCTATGATTTAATGGCTATGAAGTACCAGGGTTTGTCCTTGTAGTGTTATGGGAAGCTGATATTTAAAGAGCTGCACTCATGCATATAAGCAGGGCTTGGGTAATAATTGCCATACGTGTTTTACTTACCAAGACCATACACAATTTCTTGTGGTTTATTTAAATATCTGATGCATTGCAGTGTATGCAATAACTACATGACTGGATGATTTACAGAGCATCCAAGGTTACTGCTTTGAGTGACTGCTTGGTCAGGACAGGCAGGCCAAGATTGTTATTGCAGAGAAGTGACGCCGTGCTGTGCTGGTTGGCTGTGCTTTACTTTACATGCAGGCCTTGTGTACTTCACTGTCTGCCTATGTGTTGCCATCAGCCATGCAGAGGAAGATGCTTTCTTCAATGCTCAGTTTGACTGGAGGTTTGAACAGGTCCACAAGTACATACATTTACACAGTGGACTTTAAGTTCATCCATTGCCTGTGTTCATGTCCTCTTTTCCTCTATTTTTGCTCCTTTCCTTTCTTCTCCTTTCTGTACCTGTTACGATTTTCCTCCAGCTCATAATGTCCTGTAAATAGCAGAGCACTGTAATTAAGGAAGATGAGCTCATGGCAGATCAGGCAGCTAATCAGCCACACAGGCTGGGGGCTCTACCGGGGCTGAGCTGTGGCTGCACCAGGACCAGTTTGTCAAGTATAATTGGCACCAAATACCGGTATAATGAGGACAAGATGTTAGACATGCATTTGAGACTGTGGCAGGGGATTAGAATGGCACAGAGTCTGGGTTTAGCCAGGCACTAACCATTAGGCTACAGCTGGCCTGCTCCTGCAAGGTCACAGTTTTTCAACGGACAGCAGTTAGATTAAGTCAAGGAGAGCTTATGTTTTTTCTTCACATGGTCTTACTCCTAAATGATTCAAGAGCAATCCTAAAAGGTTACTGTGAATTGCACAAAGATAGTTGCTACAGCAGTTGATAGAAATAGTCCCGTAGGAAGATTTGATCTGAAAGCTCTTATCCACACATGTGCTAACCACTCAAAAGTTGGTCTGCTTTGATTCTAGTTTGTAGGAGCAAGGGGCTTCAGGGGTTTCCAGCATCAATTAAGGCTCGCTTGTTACGGCATCAAAGGGAATTATTATTTAACAAAACAGCACCAGAGGCACAGTAGAGACAAGATATCGTGAAGGATGCTACAGTGAGTGTGAAGAAAATGAGAGGAGTAGGAGATGCCGAGAAAAGCATGAGAGAAAACCGGGTATGATAATTAAGCAAAATGTAGAGAAGCGTGTGTTAAGTGTATCTTTAACTGAGCCCAGTGAGACAACAATGGCAACATTCAACATGGCTGCTTAGAACAGCATCAATGATGACTGCTTGTACTTGTCAAACGGCACAGCAGGCCAGACTTATGTCCTCACACTGTCAAGCATCTGCTATGTTTAAAGCAGATGCGGAGACATGTTTATCTTGCTATCTGGCTGCAGGTGATGAATTACACGAGAAATAGAGTGAGTGTGAGCTGAGGACACAGCACAACGCATCCTTTATTTCAACTCACGAATACTGACTTCACAGCTGTGAACCATGTTACTCTGTTTTGCAAATCTTAATGTATATATCCACTGGTTTAAATGCATTTTTGTGTGGTAAAAAGCGTGCACCCTTTGAAAGCTGCTTTCCCGTGTAATGCATTATAGTAAGCAAAATTGACCTCCACAATGGCTTTTCTTGTCTTTTTGCTATATCTTGATTGTAGAGGAAAGTTTTTGATCAAATTTATACACTAAATTTGGACTTGTCTTGAACTTTAGTTTTCATCAATGTGATGATAGGGAGCACAGAGAAAATAAAAGGGAGAAACGGACAGAGAGAAGTTAAATTGGGGAAGGAGGCTTAGGCCAAGAGTAAGCAGTTTGACACCAGTTCACAGCCCTGCGTGTCAGTCTCGATCTGTAGGAAGACTCTGTGGGCCAAGTAGCAAGACTTAATATCCCTTAATGATATCTAGACTCTTGAAGCCCTCTCAGTGAACCAAATTCTTGCCTAGTATTGGAACTGTAATGAGAAAATATCTGATGTTGTCCAAGAGATAGAAGAAGGGACTCCAGCGGGCTCACTGGAGGCTTGTTGCTTTTGTATAGTTGTTTGGAGGCCATGGACACTCATTGGCGTTTCTGTTAAAAAGGCTTGGATGCTGATGGATTACACCATCCTGCTAAGTTCCCTCAGAGCTGAGTTATGTTCAGTCAACTCTGTATATTTTGGCATGCATCCTGGAGATAGAATTGTGCAAAGCAGCACAGAGAGAAACACATCATATGCCAGAGGACAAGGCATTAGTTCAGTGCAGACATTTCCCAGATATGAAGAAAAGAGCTTCCAATTTTTGTGGCCTGCAACAGGTGGTCTGAGCTTAGATGTACAGTATGTGCCAATCCTTAACATGTAATGCATAGGCATATATGAGCATATATTTCTGAGGTTGTGTGCAAAAAGCTTCAGCACTGCACTCATCAGCCCCCCGTTCTCCACAGAAAGTTGTCCTGCTTCCCTTCTTTCTCCAGAGGAGCGTAGATCTAATGAAAACCACCTTGTCATTAACTGATCCCTAAAAGGGCCAATAAATGGTTAAAATTCTAAGCAATAACCCAGAGTTAAAAAATCAGCTATGACTAAAATATCATATGATATTACAATGCTTCGAAGTATTGTTTAGTTTCTCCGTTTTGGTTCTTAGAACCCCCCCAAATGTTTTGGCTTTCATCCTATGATATTAATGGCAGCCTTCTCAGATTTGTGATGAACAATGGCTGTGTTTGTTATTGTAACTTTTTAAAAAAAAGTTTGAATAAAGATGGACTAATACTAGGCTGCAACTCAGGCCACATTTATCTTTCAAAATAGCAATGGCCTGGAGAATAGTTTGGCATTCTTGTTTGGGGAACTGTGCAGTAAGTTCTGCTGTGGTTAGACTCCATGTAAGAGCATGTTAAAATGACACAAAGCAGAGGATCAGGTGTTGATTTAATCTAAATAATACACTCCACAAATTAAGTACATTTAGATGCAGACCACATTTCACCCCCAGTGCTTTTATAATATGCCATTGTTTTGGTGGGAGCATCATTTTTTTATTCTGACTTCAGTTTTCTGGGCCAAGGATGACAGGATAAAGATGAATGGCACTCAGAGTATTTAACATGGCCAAAGTCTGTGCTTAAGTGGATGATTCATTCTCTTTGTCTTCTAATCAACATTTTCCACTCCATGCAACTTAGAGTCTTCTGTTTCTCTCCTAGATCAAGAAAGCTTATCGACAGAAAGCCTTGACGTGCCATCCAGACAAGAACCCAGACAACCCAAAAGCAGGTGTGTGAGCCAGTTAATGCTCTCTCTGTTTTCCTCCGTTGTCACACAGCAGATTTATTAGTAGTTTTTAGGGCACTCTCAGCAGGTTAAACCCTGCCAGACAGCTTAGTCACAGCACCTCCGTAGGGATTCTAACCAACGCTTCTCTCTCCCGCTGGCTTTCTAGCCGGGCGGGATCAGCCAAACACCACCAACACCATCATCACCACCGGCGTTTCCACCCTCCATTTCTCTTTGCTTTAGGAGTCCTTCCCCCGGCCTGTCGCCAACCAGCATGTCAACAATTAGACCAGGAAATCTCAGTGTAGCTTTTTGTTGTGAGGAGAAAAAAGCACCTTGGACAAAAAAGTCTGGCCATGAGGCATGTTTTTAAGTGAGGTTATGTGGTTGCTGGATGGTTCAGACAAATCCTGATTATGTCAGGAAAAAAGAAAAACTGGGAAATTAGTCGGACTTGGGGGTTGAGAGGGATAATACAAAAGTAGGGGGTCGGTTTCCCAGAAATGGAAACGAAGCGGTTTGGAGGGCCTCAACACTTGAACCCGCACATGGACAGACTTTGTCTCCATCGCACGAGAGCGGAGCAAGTCTTAGGACTCTCTGCCCTGCAGGGGGAGGTGTATGCATGTAAGAGGTGACTTGGGGGTCATGATTCCTCACTGACTGATGACATCCATTATCCCACGATCCCTCATTTTCCTCAGCCTCCCATGATGTGACACTGAGCTGCCTGGTGGGCATGACAGGTCTTTCCCAGTTGGATTTCATTCCAGCCCATTATATGTATGTAGGTAACCCAACCACCTCTGCTGGCAGCATGACCTCCAGAGCCTCCCGTCAGTGTTCACAGGGAGTAACAGGATCCCCCATTAGGCCCCCCATAAGTGACTTATTAAGTCTGACTAGTAAAGTGCAGTGGTATGACAGTTGTATGAATGGAAGAGGGGTTGTAGTTTCCATGTGCACATTTTTGTGTGTGTTAGATGACAACTAGGGAAGTGGTGTCTTGCGTGATAGTAGTAATTACAGCAGTGGCCCCTTTAATGGAAGATGGATGGAGAGGCCAAGGGTTTGTATGGGAATTCATGGCTGTGTCACTGGAGGAGACCTGCGTCAGCTTTTAAAGCGTAAAATGTCCATGTTTTCTGAGAAATGTGCTTCAGCTGGAAGGGATCATTCTGAGCACATACTGTAACTTTTTTGGCATAAAACCACTCTAGATTTTTACTCTCTTCACTGTCATTTGTATTTAAATGTGCATTGTGTTTTAATTGTTAATGCTCATATTCACTTCACACTGTACATACATTTATATATATAACATTCTAAAGTGTTCTTTATACAAAAATTGTATAGCATTCATTGTACTTGGGCCTGAAAACCTTAAAAATCCGCTGTCTAATCATATAGTTACTTTAGATGACATAGCTCTCACCTCCAGTACTATAAGAGTCATTTTTGATCAGGATATGTCCTTTAAATCACACATAAACCAGGTCTCTAGAACTGCCTTCTTTTAACTTCGCAATATTGCAAAAATCAGGAGCATCCTGTCTCAAAGTGATGCTGAAAAACTGGTCCATGCATTTGTTACTTCCAGGCTGGACTACTGTAACTCTTTATTATCAGGATGTCCCAGTAATTCCCTAAAAAGCCTCCAGTTAATCCAAAATGCTGCAGCCAGAGTACTGACAGGAACTAGCAAGAGAGATCATATCTCTCCCATATTAGCTTCTCTCCACTGGCTCCCTGTAAAATTCAGAATAGAATTTAAAATCCTTCTCCTAACATACAAAGCCCTTAATGACAAGGCTCCATCATATCTTAAAGACCTCGTAGAGCCTTATCACCCTAACAGAGCACTTCGCTCTCAGAGTCTTATGCCACCATTGCACATCACTAACTTTGTGTCTCCTCTCTCCCATAGTGTGTCCTCTCTTTCTCTCTCCCTGTACCTTTCAGCAGGTTGCCCTGGCCCTGGAGCTCTACGTCTCTGACGAGCAGTCACCAGCCACATCGACCTGACCAGTGTTTGATTGTTGTGTCTTGTTGCTTTTCATATTTTCTCTCTCCTCTATCCACTCACCCCAACCGGTCGAGGCAGAAGGCCGCCCACCAAGAGCCGGGGTCTGTTGGAGGTTTCTTCCATTAAAGGGAGTTTTTCCTCCCCACTGTCACCAAGTGCTTGCTCAAGGGGGATTTGTTGGGTTTCCCCTATGTAATAATGGTGATAACAGTAAGGTCTAGACCTTACTTTGTAAAGTGTCCTGAGATGACTTTTGTTGTGATTTGGTGCTATACAAATAAAATTTGATTTGATTTGATTTATTGAAAAACCTGAAAATCTGTGTTTGTGTTCATTCATGTTATCCCTTCTCTTGTCTCACTTTCTTCTAGCGGAGCTCTTCCACCAGCTGTCCCAGGCTCTTGAGGTGTTAACCGATGCTGCTGCTAGGGTAAGACTGCAGATGCTTCTGAAAAGTGAGGATACACACATAGACAAAGTTCATGCTGGTATCTCATACTTGTTTCAGGCTGCCTATGATAAGATTTGCACTGCCAAGAAACAAGCAGAAGAAAGAAACAGGAAACTCGATGATACGAGAAAAAAAATTAAGCTTGGTGAGTCTGTCTCCTAATCTTACAGGATCTCAAGGCTCTTGATGTGCTGATTTTATTGTATGGGTATTGAAAAAGGTTATATTTATATCAGCTTTTTTTGTCAGAAATTTAGAGGATTAACACAACAAGGATTGATAGTTTTTAGAGTGATGGGGGCAGCTGTATGGATTGTTCACTATGAAGTAAAATAAGAGCAGCCATTAGAAAGTAATCAATTTATTTGGCATGGTTTTATCTGATTTCTTGTGGGAAAGAGATTCAGTATGAGTATTTGATGACAATACAGAGTTGTGTGTGTATGTGTGCTGCAATGACAGACTTGGAGGCCAGAGAGCGACAGGCAGAAGCTCAGACCCAGGAGGAGGTGCAAAACACTAGAACACTTGAAGAAGAGGTAAGAGAATTATTGATAACATGTGAGAGATTATACTGCACCACACATTGCCTGGAGAGAACATTGAAAATAGAAATTTCACTGTACTGCAGGTTTCAGCTGTGCGTTGGCAACAAAGTATTTTTGTTGCATCTAGGAAACTGTAAAACACACCCAGGTGCTATTATTCAGTTTTTCATCAAATACTCCCTTCTGATTGAATTAAAGTCTTTCAAGGATTTGGGTTAGGAACAAAGGTTCTGTCTGAGAAAGGGTTTTTTTCATTGCCATATAATTTTCAGTAAAGTCATTAGGTGATATTGCATGACTGGATGCACTTTGTTCAGAAAGCCAATGACAAATAAAAATGGTGTGCATGTGTCCATTGTGAGTCATGTCAGGTGCTTAATGTGCTTAAAGCATGTACAGTGAGGCAAATAACTATTTGATACACTACTGATTTTTCAAGTTTTCCCACTTACAAAGAATGGACAGTTCTGTAATGTTCATCGTAGGTACACCTCAACTGTGAGAGACAAAAAAATTCCAGTAAATCACATTGTTAGATTTTTTAAATAATTTCTTTCCATTTTATTGCATGAAATAAGTATTTGATCACCTACCAACCAGCAAGAATTCAGGCTCTCACAGACCTGTTAGTTTGTCTTTAAGAAGCCCTCCTATCCTCCACTCATTGCCTGTATTAATTGCACCTTTTTGAACTCGTTACCTGTATAAAAGACACCTGTCCACACACACTCAATCTATCAGACTCCAACTTCTCCACTATGGGCAAGACCAAAGAGCTGTCTAAGGACACTAGGGACAAAATTGTAGACCTGCACAAGGCTGGGATGGGCTACAGGACAATAGGCAAACAGCTTGGTGAGAAGGCAACAACTGTTGGCGCAATTATTAGAAAATGGAAGAAAATCAAGATGACTGTCCATCTCCCTTGGACTGGGGCTCCATGCAAGATCTCGCCTCGTGGAGTATCAATGATCCTGAGAAAGGTGAGGGATCAGCCTAGATACAGGGGAGGACCTGGTCAATGACCTGAAGAGAGCT